GATGGCAACTTACTCAAGCTGTTCACATTGAGTTCTTGCAATATTCTCAGAATGACAAAGTGAGAATGAATTTCTCATTTAAATTCAAGATGTTACGTTTAAGTTTCTCATTTAACTTGAAGATGAGTTACCTATGAACTACACAGATCTATCTCTTCTATAATGTTTAGGTCTCTAATCTGTCCTCTTATACTTTAACTGAGGGTACTTCCACACTGCCATTGTTTTCATTCTTGAAAACTTCAGACGTTCTTTGAAAGTGAATAGTAATTGTCTTCTGTTAGCTTGAAATGACAAGAATAATGGAAATAATTTCCCTGGCCCAAGCTACTTCAGGTTCAGAAGCAATAAAAAGCCTTGCACCTCCAATTTAAAAAGAGAAAGAAGGGGAAAGTATTCAGTAGTCTGGGACAACTTAAATAACACATGATCTGAAAAGAGATGTAGCTATCTTGATGTTCAAATGGAAGTCTGCAAAAAAAGGACACAACTGCTTTAATATCTGAAAATGCTGTGCTCATTTGAGGTCAGAAGCATTTTTGATTCATTTTCAACATGTCTTCTGCCCTATTTTAAAATAAAGCATCTTAGTTTTTCAGTTCTCTTGATACTGGGAACAGAGATTCAGAACTGCTTTAATCTGGCATAGAAACTTGTAAAAGTTTCCTAACTTTTCTTCTATTCAACAATTCTTCTAGACTTCTGTCATTTTTCTGTTCTTTTTTCCCTGTTACAAATAGTAATGCTGTGTTGGGCCACAGGAGGGAACTGACATATTATTAATGTAATTGGGCAATTTTTCAATGTTGCTACAGTAAAAATGAGTAATTCTTAACAAAAACTTCCTGATGCAAGAAAACAAAGTATTTATATCAAACAGCTTTGCATAAACAGCCAAATTTGATTTATAGTGTCTTTCTCTTGTTTCACCATCTCTGTGAAAGGGAATTCTCATTTGTCACCTAATTTTCCATAGCTACCGTATTAGCGCATTTTTTCATTATAGTAAAACAAAATTAAAATTGCCATGTTATAATTGCCAAACTCTAACAAAGGGTGCTATAATAGGTGCAAACCAGTAGATGACAGTGTTATGTTTCAGTACACTTACAGCTAGCAATTACTCTGCAGTTTGCTTTAAAATCACTAAGAAAAAGTTGGAAGCTGGAATTGATCTATTCTTTGTGACAACTAGACCAATCATTAAATCAAAAAGAATTTCAGAATAATATAAATAACTATCTTCAAGTGTTAAAACACCTGACGAGGTTAGAAAGTGGATTGGATAAAGAGTGATATAGTATGATAGGTGTTACATTACGCATATGAGCTGAACATGCAATATAAAAGATACAGTAAAATGATAACCCAGGTCAAGGCCTTCTCTGTAAAAACATAAAATACCTATAGCAATTATCCGTTTTGTATCACAGTTTGCTTTTGCTGGACAGCTTCATATTTGCTGGGATTATACATTCTTGGTATATACTTGCACTGCCCAACTAGCAGTTTGAAAGCATGCAGTTGCAAGTAGATTAATAGATACCATTTCGGTGGAAAGGTAACAGCGTTCTGTGAAACTTTGGCATATAGCCATGCTGGCCACATGACCACGGAAAATGTCTTTGAACAACGCTGGCTCCCTCAGTCAGGATGTTTCATTACCCAAACTACGGTAGGTAACATCATCAGTGCTAGAAAGGAATGGGGTTTGTTCTCAGTTTATACTCTAGTGGCCTGCCCTGTGTTGGTGAGAATGGTCTTAGAGATTCTTTCGTTGGGCTATTTGTTGTTAGTTTGGCAGTTCCTTGATTGAGGTATTATTTACTTCTTGATTGTTGGTCTGACATTAATATTGATGTTAATTTATGCTCATCTGGGTGTTGATTGCTGGTGCTGAGGTAATATATTAATAACAGCAACAACAATAATGATGATATGATGATGATGATGATGATGATGATGATGATGATGATGATGATGATGATGTTAGAAGGTCCAATCCCCTGTTCAGGCAGGAAACCCTATAGCAGGGGTCTTCAAACGTGGCCCTTTTATGACTTGTGGACTTCAACTCCCAGAATTCCTCAGCCAGCATGCCTGCCTGAGGAATTCTGGGAGTTGAAGTCCACAAGTCATAAAAGGGCCAAGTTTGAAAACCCCTGCTCTATACCATTTCAGACAAATGGTTGTCCATTCTCTTCGTAAATGTTGGAGCATTCACAACTTCTGGACGCAGGTTGTTTCACTGATTAATGTTTTGCTCTTTTTGTTCACTTTTTGGCTTGTTGATTGTCTCTTTTATACAGTATGTCTATGTGACTATTGATGGCTAATTTGCCAGAATGCCAGGCTCACTAGAGAATTTCTCTAGCAGAGTTTATACAACTCTAGAGAGTTGTATATGTTACTCTCCTTTTTCTCAAGAGCTACAATCAATAGCAATGTGCAGGTTGTTCATTAATGGACAACTTTCTATGCCTACAGATAGTCCCTGACTTGCAAGCAGTGACGAGGCAACTGTTCAAAATTATGATTGATCTATAAAAGGGGACTTATGACCTGGATCTGAAGTTCCAATAGTCAGCCCCCCGCCCCAGTTATGTCAGTGACATAAACTCATTTTACAAGGGTTTTGCCAAACATCAGCAGATACTTCTGGTTTTCAGCAAAACTGCACCCATTGGTTCACTTAACGACCGTGGCATTACTATGTGGCGTCACTGGGGAATATGAATGATAGTGAATTTAGGAAGCTCAGGTTTATCAGTTGTATTCAATTGAAATCTTTTGTCATATTGTAGTGGGGGAGATAAGCCTCTTTTGTCTGGGTTTTTATGAGATCTGACCTTGCTGCTGCTTTTTTTAATTGCTCCAAAAACATAACTTTTAAAATAGTTAAAGTGTTTTATAGAAGATTGTTATTTTTTTGTGTGTGAACCAAAAAACATTTGTTTGGAAGGAAAAAATGTATGTAAATAGCCAGTTTAGCACTGAACAAGAATCAATCAATCAATCAACCAAGGATTTTCCTAAATGTGATTGAGTTGATTGTTAGAGTTGCGACAGAAGTTATAAGGAGTGAACTTACTATATTTTTCATAAATTAAATCAGTTTTAGATTTAGTCAGCTAACAGTATCAAGCTCCAAAAACCAAGAAAGATATGCTGAGGTTCTTCTAAGCAGTTTTCTTTATTGTTCTATACCAGGGGTTGGCAACCTTAAACATTCAAAGAGCCATTTGGACCCATTTCCCACAGAAAAGAAAACACTGGGAGCCACAAAACCCTTTTGACATCTAAAATGAAGATAACACTGCATATATCGTTTTTTTACCTTTATGCTATGTATAAAAAAACTATAATGTGTTGCATTTATGAAATCAATGAACTGCTACAAAGAAAACACATTTTTATTTCTGCATGCAACAAAAACATTTTGAACTCCAAAAAAAAAGATGCTGAGTCGAAGGTTACTTTCATAAAATACTCATAATAAAATTATCCCCATACCTCATCTCTTAATTAAAAAAAGATCAAAATATTTCATTAAACGTTCTTTACTAAAAGTCTAGTAAGGACAACCACATATATTCATATTCTCTCTCTCTCTCTCTCTCTCTCTCTCTCTCTCTCTCTCTCTCTCTCTCTCTCTCTCTCTCTCTCTCTCTCTCTTTCCTCTGCCTTGAGAAGAAACTGATTCAAAGACTGAGAAATTAAAACAAAAATTTGGGTCATAAGAAACACATCCTGCAGCAAGTTGTCCGGCACTGAGTTGGCTGTGGCAAGTTGGGTCCCCCTGCCCCACCATCCTGGGCAGAAGCTGCCATCAGGTAGTGGGACTCCTCCCCACCTCCTTCCTCAGGAATGGCCGGTTCCTGAGGCTGGGAAGGAGGCCGGCCAGCTGCAGGCAGAGGGTGGTCTGGGGGGGGGAATCTCCCACTGAATCCCCCCAAAGGCCCCCCTTGAGATCCCCCAAAATCTCTTCTGTCCACTCTGCTCCGAAAGGGGGATTTGGGGTTTGCCAGTCTTCAGTCGGGGGGAGAAGCTCTTCCTTTAGGAGATTCTGGCAATGACGGGGAGCAAATGGCTGCCCCTCATTGGGGTCCTTTGCCCTTTCCTTAAAAATGTCTCTTTGTGTTGATGCTGCCTAAAATTGTTAGGTTTTGCAACCACCTCACACTTTGCACTTTCCCCCCTTGAATCTTCTGCTGGATTTTGCTTATTTTTTTATATTGTGGATCACAAAGGCAAAAAAGGGAAAGTGAAAAGGAGAAATTTTCTTTCTCCAAATAAAACTTTTTGAAAAGTGATTGAAACACAGGAGAAAATTAGGAGAAAGATGGGCCTTGGCTTGAACCAATCAAGCTTTTCTGAGATGGCTTGGGAGTTCATGGTCTTCATAATAGCCCTGGGCCTATCCTAGACCATCCAAAGCCCAATCCAGGATAGTGGTCACGCTCTGGATCTGGTATTCATGTCAGAGCAGATTTAGTATCATTTGACTTCCACCATTTCCCCCAAATCAAAGGAAATGGGCATCTGTTTGCCTCAAAAACTGGAAAAGACTGTCAAGATCTGGTTGAAAAGACAAAAGTATGGAAGGTTTTGTTCCTTTTTTTAAGCAGCTTGTCTCATCAGGGGCAGACATATGTAGCAAATGGTGGTCATTGCATAAAGAAATAAATACTGACATCAAAAGGATTCATTTCAAGAATAATTTATTTTATTAATTACAGTATCATTAATTAAATTAAAATTGTGAAAGTACAGACATTACTTTTTAAAATTTTATTGAGGGCCGGCAGGGTGCCTAGAAATAATTCTTGTTAAATTACTTTTGTGTATTTTTTTTCCAACAAATGACAGAATTTCAAGCAATTAAAACTTTTTTTTAAAAAAAAAGCCAAAAACATGGTTTGTGCAGATGCAGAGCAATTGGATGCTGTCCATGATTATCCACCCCAAATGCTCAAGGTTCTGTAAAACTGACCTGGAATTCAAGGATTTGTCTCTACTTCTTTTCTTAAGGCTTTGAGTGAAAGTTCGTATCCAAGGAATGTGGCAGCACTTACAGGGAATCCTCGCACTGTATTCACTGTAAGACCTCTGAAAAAGACCTAATTATAAGAAAAAAGAAAATGTTATGTCTGTCAGAAATTTTTTGAACAGGGAAGAAAAAACTTATCGAAAAAGGTCTATTTTCATATCATTATTTTATAAGAAACACAAAGAATGGCCTCACCTAAATGATTTCTCACAAGTTTCTACATTGTATGTACTAACATTATGTCTTTTAAACATCCAGTATTACAATTACAAGGGGGAAATAAGCAATCTATAAACCTACACACAGAATACAAAGAGAGCCAGTTGATAGATTCTATGTAGTGGAACAACATCAAGATCAAAGTTTCCCACAACGAGGTTTCCAATTGCTCAGACACTCAAGGGTCTGAAAATACTGTGGATACATGTCTATTTGTCCAGTACTGCAAATGGGAATGCAAGCTTTTTTTTTTAAATTTTTTTTTTAAATTGGGAATGCAAGCTTGATGGTGCCTTTCCTTCTATGTTCACCTACACCCTGCCCTTTATCAACTCTGCAATATCATGTTCTTCTAGGCTTCCAAGTTTTTTCAATCTTGAGCAGTCCAAGGTTGTTGTCTTCAGGTTTAGAAAGTGTTGTCTAAGCAGTACTCAGATTTCATAAAATCCACTCTCCTTAAAGAACTTTCCTATCATTGTTCTGTTCCATTTCAGGATTAGCTTCAGATCTCATGTGAGATGTAGAATCCATCTGTTTCTGCTTTGGTTCCAGTTTACTACAGTAAATCTTAAAAAATCAAATATCCCTGTAACACTACACTGTCTGCCGATCTTGTAGTCTGCTTTTCCAATGGTGTGAATTCTTGCCATAACCTGTTTCTCTTTCTCTCGTTTCCTTCTATACTGTGATTCAGCATGCTATACCTGAAGCTTTT